GTGTGTGTGTGTGTGTGTGTGTGTGAGTGTGTCTGTGTGTGTGTATGTTTGTAAGTGCATTTGTGTGTGTACATGTGTGTGTATGAGACATAATGGCGACATGACGCCTCGTCAAAACAATGAAATCAAAGATGCGAGCATTTCCCCGACGGTTTTGCAATATTTTTCTCAAATTTTGGGGTTTTTCGGCTCATTACGTTTTGTCCATTAGAATCATATTCCTGTGTGGACTTTACCACAATAAGGATATAAAAAAATTAGCTGATTAAAGGCTCAAAAAGTGTAACTTCTTAGTTTCCAAAGACTCTTAAACTATGGATGTCACCAAACTTTGGCGGCCATTTTCTCGCTATTTTAACTCTGAAACCAAGCGACCCCTATGTCCTTCAATCGAAAATATCTTGATTTCTTTCTATTCACTATCATCAAGTTCCAGGTCTACCACAGACTTCGGCAATCAAGGTTTGCCATTCATTGCTTTGCTTGAATACTCTAAAAAAAAAAAGCTAAAATATTATCCCGATCCTTCCCCGTCACCCATCTGTTTTGGCTTGCCAAGTAAGTTGGTCTGTGTCTATCTGCTTGCACTTGAGTCCTAACGCCTTGGGTTCACCAAAGTAAATCCACACATAGCAGCCAGCGTACACTGAAATGATTTTCATTCGAATCTATGACGCACAGAAGATCAACCCAAAGCGTGTAATGCCTCCCTTTACTCTTAAAGCAAAGAGCGCATGGCTTGGGCCCAGAGTAAGCCAGGTTTGCGTACACCCTCCTCCTGCTCCTCCTCCTCTTTTTCCTCCTCTTCCTCCTCCACCACCTCTTCCTTCTCCGAGAATTTGAATACATGAATATTTTCGGTTGAAACATTAAGACTTCTTGAATATAAATGCTTTGACATATTCAGCTTTATGTTTCTAAAGCACTAATTAGGCCGACCATACTTCTGATACGTCTGCCATGTTTACAAAATATGTAGGACAATCGTACAGTGTTCAAAATATATTATTTTAGTGTCAGAAGTAATACTGATTTATCTTTTGAAAGGGTACTAAAATGTTGATCGTTTAAAACTGAACCTATGTCGTTTTTTGTCCTGAAAATGTTCTGATGTAGGTTGTTTTCAAACAAAACGTTTGCCAGCTGCAAAATAACGATGAGAATGTAGTCTTTTGTGACTCTTATCTTAAGTCCAAGAAAAAAATTAACTTTGAGAACATTAAGAACAGGACTGGCCACGGTCGCCTTTAACTTACACTCCCTGATTTCCCAAACAATGGTGTTTTCTAATGGGTGAGGGGGTTTAAACATTCTGTATATCTTTTCTTTATTTACATGTAGTTGTGTATAACCTCTCTGAGTATCTCTTTCCTAATGCGACCCTTGACTGTTAGTATTCATATCCCGTCTATTCTTCTCTTACATTTTTTGTTTTTTAAGATAGGTTTCAGCTGTTTGCTCGTGTGTTGCAATAATGAAACGAGTTTTGTTCTTTCAACAGGGGATGTTTGTTGCCATTTTCTACTGCTTTTTGAATGGAGAGGTAAATCGTGTGTGTTTTTGTGAAATGTATACTCTATATTTCGAAATAGTAGGATGATAAGAATAGTATACACTTAAGTAATGGAATTTCCTGTAAAAGGAAATATACCCCTACATGGTATGCATCTAAGAATGTTCTTTTATTAAATGATCTTGAAAATGATCTTTTCCATACAACTCTAATCATGTCATTTTCATCGCATAAAGAGATTTTTATAAGAATTTAGGGCAAGCAGATGGACATATGTGAGGCTTTCATATAGATCTAACTGCTTGTTAAGTAGTATACAATAGTTTGTTTTGGTGCCAACTATCAGTTTATTGTTGTTGTTTTTTTAAAATCAATCATTAATCAAAACATTCAGCAAATACCTATCCATATGACTGCATCCTCGATATGTTGAGAAAACAGACAACAGCTTATATGTACATTCTGCATGTTTTCCGTATTGACCCCCCCCCCGCCCACCCTCTCTGCCACTCTGTCTCTGTCTCTGTCTGTCTGTTTGTCTGTCTGTCTGTCTGTCTGTCTGTCTGTCTGTCTGTCTGTCTGTCTGTCTGTCTGTCTGTCTGTCTGTCTCTCTCTCTCTCTCTCTCTCTCTCTCTCTCTCTCTCTCTCTCTCTCTCTCTCTCTCTCTCTCTCTCTCTGGCATTTGCATACTCATATGTTTATACGCGACATATCAAAAGATGGAAGTATTAATTCAGTGAGTAGGAATGCGAAAGCTATTAAGCTTACACATTGTGTTTATTCTGTTAATTCTTATTTTAGGTGAGGTTGCTGCTGCGAAAAAAGATCAACGCACTTCAGGAGAGTCGAACGTTTACCCGCTACACCAAATCATCGCTATTTGGCAGCCCACGTCGATCAAGGTATATTCATTAGGCCTATTTTTCCTGCTTGTACATATTCCCCGTGCAAAATCCAACATCAATTGTCATCGCCAATTTAAAAAAAAAGCCACAGACTGATTATCCTCTTTTCTTTTTCTCGAGCTCTCATTTGGTCCAAAGACACCAAGGTTCACGTGCCAAGTTGGTTGTTTAAAAACGTCTGTATCCTGATTTTTAAAAAAATGCTACGCTTAAGTAGTTCTCTTTCTCGTTTTAGCCCTTTTCGTACTGAGGCGTTCCTATTCATGTTTAGGCAGGTCAGGTAAATTTAAGTTCATCCAAAATAAATAAATCAATCAAGCAAAGCCATAATATTTTTCCCTTTACTAAAATTACAAAAGTGCACAAGTTGCTAATTTATCTATTACAATGTCCTCGATAAACCAGTACAGAAGTGGCTGTGACCAGTTTGGGAAAACATAAGTGAGTATACCAGCCAGTGAAGAGGTTAAGTATTTTTTATCCATCTATGTTGACTTGGAACTTCCTTATCTAACTCTTTTCCATGTGCGTTTTTGCCCTTTTATTCATTAACATCTGCATCTTCATATTCATATCATAATCAGTTTTTTTTTCTTGTTGATTTTTCTTCTCTTGTTCTTTTTCCAATTCCTTTTTATCAATGCCATCATTACTATAATAATCAACCCTATACACCAACTCCCTACTGTTGCAAATCTAACCGTTTGAATTTCAGTTGTCTAACACAAATAGCCTGTTTTTCTCTTTTTTCATATCTTCAAGCAGAAAGGCATCAAAAAGAATTGGTAGAAACCTAAATAATTTTGAATATATGCACAAGACAAACGTTCCAAAAAAAAAAGATGGAAATAATGGTTAGTGACCACAGCCTCCAATTGACAGAGGAATTTCAATTATTGGCCCCCAGTAAACGAAATATTGTATTAAAAAACAAAACAAGTAAAGACTGATATAGACATTCATTCGTACAAACTGCAGTGACATTACTAAACACATAGTGCTACAAATAAAACAGAGAGAGAGAGAGAGAGAGAGAGAGAGAGAGAGAGAGAGAGAGAGTGAACGTTTTATGGACCGGGCTGTTTCAGCTCGTAAAACTTGCATTTACTAATGTCCTGTCTTGTTGTGTGTATGCGTGAGTGCACCTAACCTTTGTAACATTCCACTGACATTGTAAACGACCAAGACAAATTTCTCCTGTGAGATGAATAAAGATTGTCATTGAGTAGCCTATTACTGATCAGTAAGGTATTAAAGGTGCATGTGCGCACAGAAGCTAGAATTGAATTTATCCGATGTTGCAAATGTCTTAAATGTTTTCCCTTGTGAACCTAAACATATATATATATATATATATATATATATATATATATATATATATATATATATATATATATATATATACCAACCTTCCTTCTTAATCATATATACTAGTCAACAAAAGTTAAGGAACGTACAGTAAAAAGAGTGATATATTTGTATGCATTCTTTCGAGGTTTTACTTTTACTCGTAAAACTAGATATTGGTGAAATGTTACTCTATGACTAATGGAATTGTACGCACCAGGGTATGAAGTGCACGCGACTCCTGTGCGATGAGCTTGGGAGGGGGCAAAAAGGTCCAATGTTTTCCAATTATCGATTTTTATTCTCTAGCTCTTACCGTCAGGAAAAATTATGAACGCTCAAAAAATCAGTTTTCAATTGCAAGATTCATGTCTCGTGAGTGACTTGCACTCGCTCATTTGCACTGTGGATACACCATTCTGCTGCTGTAGGGCTAAGCATAAACATGCCTCCTCGACAGAAACTGTCTGATGTAAACAGAGGACGAGCCATTGCTTAGGTACAAGATTGTGTTTCACTCCGCCAAGTTGCTACACGTCTTCGAGTGTCCGTTTCTGTCATTTCACGGCTGATTCAGCGTGCCAACGCCACTGGTAGTGCCCAAGAGCGACCCCGATCAGGTCGATCAAGAGCCACTAATGCAAGGGAAGACCGATTCATTCATAGACAGGCTCCGCAGTCGAGATCCGCTCCTGCAAATCGTATCCGGACACGGCTTAGAGCGGCAACTCGTGTTAACATTAGTTGTCAGACAGTACGAAGACGTCTTCATGAGTTTAGACTTAATGCACGTCGACCAGCAGTCCGCCAACGTCTCACCCAAGCACACAGGGCTGCTCGTCTTGCCTTTTGGCGACGCCAAGTAAGATGGACACGTCAACAGTGGGCAAACGTTCTCTTCAGCGACGAGTCCCGGTTCTCTTTGCATCACAATGACGGCCGTATCAGGGTTTGGAGGCGACCCGGAGAGTGGCTCCTCGATGGAGCCGTCAGAGAAGTGATGCCTTTTGGAGGTGGTTCCGTGATGATATGGGGTGCTTTCAGTCTGAACCACAGAACACCTCTGTACCAAGTGCTAGGGAATCTCACTGCAATACGTTACCGAGATGAGATACTCCGTCCATTAGCACTACCTACTCTGCAGCAGATGGGGCCACATGCAGTGTACCAAGATGACAACGCCCGACCTCATAGAGCGTTGCTTGTCCAAAACTTCATGCAGCAGGCTGGCATCAACCGAATGGACTGGCCGGCCTTCAGTCCGGACTTGAATCCCATAGAAAACCTCTGGGATGAGCTGCAACGTCGAGTCAGAGACAACCACACCCCTCCAGGAGACGCGCAGCAACTGTTTCAGATGCTGTAGGCAAAGTGGCAGGGGATGCCTCAGAGAGTGTTCACCAACCTCATGAACTCGATGAGGAGCCGGTGTACTGAGTGCCAGGACAATCGTGGTGGGCATACTCATTATTGAGATCATCTGAACTGTTTTGTTTTTGTTGCAGTCAGAAGTTAAAATAACTTCGAAACCGTTTGACAATTTTTGGGATTTGGGATTTTAACCCCTACCAAACTCAATTAACTTTTCAAGCAAGTTAAAATGGAATAACTTCATTTTCTTTTTTATTACTTGCTATACACATGTTGATTAAAATGTGTACTAAATTTTATTGCGTGTTGAAGTTTGCTTTCGAAGTTATACACCTTTTCTCAAATGTTCCTTAATTTTTGTTGACTAGTTTATATAAATATATATCCCATTTTTGAGAGGACTGGCAAATCGTAAAAAAAAAATCAAAGCTATACCCACCCCTTTTCTACATTCCCAATCTCATTTTTAACGTGTTATATAATTTTTATTTTACTAAGACCATACCCCCCCTCTCAACTACCACCCCTCCCCCCTCCCCATCTTGCCTCTAAAATGACCAACCAGACAACGTAACGCCGCCCATGTTCTTCCCCCTCCACAGTTGCTACGCAATGACAGTCACGACGACTAATGGGAAGGCAGGCGGGGTCAAAAGAGCCTCGGACGGAAGTGCCAGGTCCAAAGGGTCAAGGGCGGGAGAGCAGGAGACAGAGGCCAGCGCTTCCATGATGGAGAACATGTTGTAGGACACGACTGGACATTGGACTGGTTGGGAAGGGGGGAGGGGAGAGGGGGTTGTGGTTGTCCAGGTACAGGGTCAGACTGATATACTGAGGCAGTTGTGGATTTTCAAAGAGAAGGAAAGTTACTGAAAGAAAAAAATGGTGAATCAAAGCGAGAATGAATGAATGATAAAAGAAATAAAGAGAAAAGTATAAAATAAATGAAAGAACGTAAATATAAATGAAGGGAGAAACAGTGAAAGACAGAAATGATGAATGCAAGATAGAAAGAAAAAGTGAAAGAATGAAGGAGTGGACAAAATAAAAGAAAGAAAGAAAGAAAGAAAGAAAGATAGAAAAATACATACAATACAGAAAGGGAAAAATATGCTTCACAATGTTGACACGTAGATGAGAGAAATTCGGAGAAATAATGAATTTCTCAGACATAATGTGAAAAACACGAGGGTTATTCCAGCATTAACAAGAAAAAGCTGTCAAATGAAAAGTAGTGCATTAATAAAGATACAGTTTACACAGTTGGCTAGACCTTTGACATGTTTAAAACTTTCTCACTATGAATACTTTTATGTTCTGCTTCAATTTCAGTAGGATGTTTGTTCTCTTTTGCGGGGAGAAAGCGAATTACCGAACCGTTCATAGCTCTTCTTTTGACCATGTTGGTTTAGTAGTTGCCATCTTTGTTGTGACGTAATAAAATGGTAGCATTCATTTTGTTCACAAAAATTAACAATTCCAGGAACAACTACTTTTTACCACATTGAAAAATATTAGATGGTCATTTAAATATGGCCAGTTGCCTGTTTATTCTTCGACAGCCGTCGTATAATTGAAAATACGTACAACAAAAAGTTTTAAAAAATAATGAAAAAGAAACAAATTTGGCAAACACAATACAATCACAGAATTGTAAACAAGGTAGCAAAACTAGTGAGAAACAGGAAAGCAAAGAGTAATTATAGCAGCGCTCTATAACACTCAGTAAGAAAGAAGTAGGAAGCACTGGGGGGGGGGGGGGGGTACCATAAAATCCAGACCAAAGAAGGAAAGACTCAACCAACAAAAACCTGAAAGAGGAAGAAACTGAAACAATCTAATCAAATAAGTTTACATCTACGCTTTATTTAGTGAACTGATTATTTAAAAAAACTATCTAAACATTATGTTTCATAACTTGTACGGAAGCAAGCAGTCCGAATACACACAAATAAAGAGGAAATATTCATATCTGCTTGAAGGCCTCCGGTGTGTGAACGTGTACCTTGCACGTCCCTCTGTTTTTGTGTGGATTTGTGAGAAAGAATAATTGATTACTTTTAAGCACAAGGGAGCTAACCCGAAAAATGGCTGTTTTGAGAAAATCAAAGGAAAAGTTTACTTGTTTACTTGTGTGAAGGACCGACATAACTGCACAAGGGGCATTCCCATAAGCTCTCCGTCCCCTGAAGAAGCACATCTCGAAGTGTGTAGATGCTGACGGTTCCAAGTAATGCTTGATTCCATAGCCTTCTGCTCCTCCCACTCAATCTTTAACTTCTGCAGGCGCCCCCATCCAATTTCAAGCTCACGAAGTCGCTCAAGATGATGGTATTCCGTCTCTTCTTTTTCTTTTTCTCTTTTTTTTTCCTTGACTGACCGTACAATTTCATGTTTGTCAGGGCACAGCTTCCCTTCTGGTTTTGCTTTCCCAGCGAGCTCATCAGCCCGCTCATTCCCCTTGACTCCAGCATGGCCCGGGGTGAAGATCCACGTGATCTTTTTCAGTGTTGTCTTCTTCAGGAGCTCTGTCCATTCGGCTCTAAGGTTACCACTTTCAATCTTCCTCAGAGTGCTCTGAGAGTCTGTGACAAAGATCACATGTGCTTGTCGAGTTGTTGTGACCCATTTGAGAGCCTGAGTGATTGCCTCTATCTCCATTCTCATATTAAATGTTGTCATATCGTATGCTCTCTGCTGTTCCTGCACCAATCTGCCACTCACTCTTGCTGAGAAGCCCCATCCAGATTTGTCCCCTCGTTTAACAGATCCATCCGTGTATACAACCACATCTCCGTGCCGTGAGTTTTCTTCAAATCAGCTTCAAACCAGTTGTCGTATCTCAGCATCTGTCGCCCCATGCGGGCACTCTCTACATTCTCTGTTCAGCGTAATCACTACCTTCCCAAAATCTCTCTCATTCATCTTTATCCATTCTTCACCCGCTTTATATCTTCCAGTGGGCAGACTTCCTTGATGGTGTTTTCAACCTCAGCCATCCAAGAAGCTCCTCGTTTTAGGCGATTTCCCTTGATTGCTCCAATGGCTTCGTGAAGTGGGTGTTGCTTATCCGCCGCCACTCTCATGTACGCCCTAACCGGAGCTACTTTGTGTCTGTTTTCCACTGACATGAGGCCCAATACATGCCTCATACAGGTAATTGGCGTATCCCAGGTGCAGTCTAGTATAATGCGCATGGCTTCATTTTGATTTCGATCCAACTTGTCCAGTTGGGTTTTTGTCAAGGACAATATTCCGAGCCCATAATCGATGACTGCCAAGACCAGCTGCTGATACATAAGAAGCAGTAGCCTTTGTTCTATTCCCGGAGCCGCCATGACCTTCACTGCATTCAAGCTCTTCTTTGGCCTTTCCACAACACCATCTATGTGATCTTTGAAGGAAAGACAGCGATCGAAAACCACTCCCAGATACCGTATCTGGGAAAGGAAAAGTCTTTGCCCCTTGTTCAGTTTCTTTAAAAAACAAGGATAGTTTTCTCTATAACCAAACAAATATACACACCAATGAAGCCAAACTTCTCCTCGCGCGCTCATATGACCTTAGCAGTTGCGAGCGCCGTAAAACCTTATACGATACTATACTACTAAACTTCTCCTACAGCTAAGGTAATGAACACTTTTGGTGTAGGTCAAGATTTCTGGAAACCCCTAAAACCTGGGTTAGACCGCTTGTGCTTAAAAGTGGCCAATTGGAGATATCGATAGAGAATTAAAGGGTAAGAGACGGAGAGAGAGAAAGAGAGAGAGAGAGAGAGAGAAAGAGAGAGAGAGAGAGAGAAAGAGAGAGAGAGAGAGAGAAAGAGAGAGAGAGAGCGCGAGGGTGGGGGGGGAAAGGGGAAGAAGAAAGGTGGAGAAGGATGGGGAGGGGGTTGAGAAAAGCGGGGGGGAAAGCGGGGGGGGGGGTGAGGGGGGAGAGAAAGACCATAAGAGAGAGAGGGGAGAGGAGAAGGCTGAGTGAGAAAGACAGAGGGAGAGAGCGAGAGAAAGAGGGAGAGAGCGAGAGAGAGAGAGAGAGGGGGAGAGAGGGAGAGAGAGAGAGAGAGAGAGAGAGAGAGAGAGAGAGAGAGAGAGAGAGAGAGAGAGAGAGAGAGAGAGAGAGAGAGAGAGAGAATAGAATAGTGGTTGTTTGAATAACACCTTTATGTCCCTCGACTCCTAACAATGTAGCATGTCTCTTGTGTCTCTTTTTTCTGAAAAGGCAACTCTACACTGTATTCTCCCGTCATTTGTTTCAATAAAGACATGTCTACCCGGGGCTATACAGAATAGTATCAAAGGAAATCTATTGTTGTAACTCGACATTCATGTACATAATATATCAACGTAGAAAACATGACATTGTGTTCCATTTACTGAGCATGAAAGGTAATGTTATATCTTTACTGTGAGTTATTTGTCATAACCACGCACATCAAATGATTAGGATATGTTGTTTTCCTTCCCTATTTTTAGAAACACCTTAATGTACTCCTGTGGTGGTCTTCATTTGAGGCGTGCTTATTCCTTGTAAAAATAATATGAAAACAATGTTTTGTGTTAAATGTTGTGCTGTCAAATTAAAACCTCCACTTACAAGAACAACAGTCTGACAAACTTGCGAAGAAACGACTTGTCCACTGACGTTCTGACGGACAGTCAGACATTCAGTTATACAAATACCAAGAGCATTATGCCTACCCAGCTTCATCGTCATTTCGACCCCCCCCCCCCCCCCTTTTTTTAAATTGTGCATTTGAGTGTTTTTCGACTTATTTAGGAAAGTGATTGCCCTGGTATCGCTAATAAGACGCTAGCCAAACCAACAGGGGGACTGGGTGGAAACCTGCAAAACAATACTTCTTGATTTCAGCTCAGTAGTTCATCCCCAGAAGAACGTTGCTGCTCTTTAGGTGGCCAATATTAATTGTTGGAAGGGGCAGATGTTCAACAAAATGGCAACTGAACGATTTAATCAAGTCTTCGAGTTTAGAGACATAAAACGATACTGCTATTTATTTCTATCATTGATGTCTCTGTGATGTCTATGCCTTTATTTGTTCTCTTTTTTTCCATCATATCCAGATATGTAAGGATCACGTGTGTCCCAATGTGATGATTTATTTCAATTCAAATAGATGTACTACACGACTTTATTATTTTTAATATTTAATTATTGCATGCTTACAAACTGAGGTCACTGTTCATGTTCCTTAAATGCGATAAAGGTATGCTATTCTGAACGATGAATCGTGAGACATAGTAATATATAAAATTGGATCAGGTCTTTAACTTTGAGAGTTATGTTTCTTTATTTTTACATTTTTAAAATGGATCCACCCAAAAGTCGTTCACATCTACAAGCCAGTTTTGGAGTATATCGATATAGCTTTGTCCTCTGCTTGAAATGAAGAACAACGCGACAACTGCACCCCAAGTAACAGCGATTCAAAAGTTAGATAACTCTTCTTTCAATTGGTCACATACTCATTCCACAACGATACTAGAGAATTGAAACAATGCGCTATAAAGTCTGTTCATTCTGTTTTATTCAAAAGTTAGATAACCCCTCTTCAAATGGTCACTGAGTCACTCCATAACAGTCGAGTAAACTTTAGAAGTGAAGCAAGGTGTTTTGAAATCGGCTCATTCTTTATGAATCACCCTGCATACAAATTCGTGTTCTAATTTTGTTAACATCTCATGTAATTAATTTATGTCCTTCCCTTACCCTGCCTTAGACTTAGACATTTTGTTTTGTTACTTCAAATTTCAGATTACTTTTGCTTGTCGACCTCATTCCGTAAGGTGCCAAACTGTAAACCTTTCGCCTTGTCCTTTGCCCATGGTTTCTTTTGTCTAGATCGTTGCCATCCTGTGATAATTCATTTCCCAGAGTTTGAGAAACCAAATTGATATCTGTGCGTTGGTCTCAATAACAGTGTTTTGTTGTTGTTGTTGTTGTTGTTGTTGTTATATATGTGTGTGTGGCATCCTATCATTCCAAAATGTTTGGAACCCTGAAGAGCGTGGATTTTGCAAGGCCACCACATCTCTAAGATAGCGGGTGAGGCAGTCTAACCTCTCTGAATCCTCCTCAAAAAGATGGAACCGTCGGACCCCCGTAGCAGGGCATCTTTGCAGCCAAAGCTCCAGATCTTGGGGCTCCTCGCTGCACAATGGACCGATTGGGTCCGATGTGTTGTCTGTTCTATGTTTGTAGGCCCGCAGTCGAGAGAGGTGACCTGTACTGATTTTCGCCAGTGGTGACTGGTCGCCGCGGGACCTAATTTGTTGCTGTTGCTGTTTTTATTTTTGAAAATTTAATGTTTTAAAAAGTTTGATCCTTCTTTTTCAGTTAGGCGTGATTCTCTCTGTATTCTATTCGTCTTCTAACCTGATTTGATAATGATTTATTGGAGTCAATCTCACTGAGGATAGAAAGCTCACTCAAAACATATTATGAACTTGTTATGTCAGACAATAGATAGTCACAAACTTATGTTCAACATAGCTATTGCATTTTTATCTGCTCGCCTTGAGATAAAGTACTAAGTAACAGAGTATTTGAGTAGCCCAAACGATAAACCTCTTGGCAATGTGTACTTGA